GCTCGGGAAGAATGTCTCCAAAGAAGTGTGTTTTTGGTTGTAAGGGAAAGATAACTTTGTTCAGCTTCCTAAAGAACCCAGCGTTATGTAAACAGTGGATACAGTTTGTTTTTCCGGAGCAGCAACGGAGTTTCACAAGTGTGTTTGTTGATGAACGTTTTATAAACAAGGCCTAGTTCGACGCTGGATTTGCACATCGTTTGATACTGAAAGATGGAGCAGTCCCAGCTATAAAAGATCCCGGTCATGATTCAGAACTGCAGACGGTAAGTGAAACGGCATCAAATGTCTGTTTTGTTGGCATTCGGTGCTCAAGTGCTCGTCACTCTTTAGCTCCGCCCACGGCGCACCTCCAGGAGCTTGGCTTTTTCCAGAGAGAACCGTAAAGCTGTATCTTTCTTTCATAAATATGATAAAACTAAAGACTTTTTGGAGATATGAAGGCTGCAGTACTACTTCTATAGCTACTCAAGATTAACATGAGATTGGGTGAAACTGTGTGCGTTATTCCCCCTTTAATATAACTCCGATTGTATTTGTCTGAAAGAAGAATGTCATATACACCTAGGATGGCTTGAAGGTGAGTAAATCATGGGGTAGTTTTCATTTTTGGGTGAACTATCCCTTTAACCTACTGTGGAAGGTCACTTGTTTTTAGAGAGCCTTCTATTGCCTCGATTCTATGACAATGTGTACATGAATATTTATTTTAGATGTGTTAAAGGTATTTTTATATATGTTTTTATATGTTACTACTATACTATAGTACTATGGTACTATTCAAATATTTTTGTGTTTATTTGAGCATATGAACCAGCCTAACGGAAACACTGGCTTAACCAACATTAACCAACCATTTTTAAAACAAATTCCTTATACTAAATATAAAATTGTGTATTGCATAACTATTTGTTAGCTGTCTACCTAAACAACATTTTGAGGCACTGTGCTGCAGCATCATATGTATCCATTACGGAGATTACTTTTCTTGATTAATTTTCTCTTTTTCTTTTGTTGCTTAATATTCATTTTTGACAGCAGCAGGTATATTATGCATGGATCCTGACACAAATCTGAGTTTCTTCCAACTGGTTCATGTTCACTTAACATATAACCAAGGTAAACTGTGTTTACTATGATATTCCCCAAGACAAAATTCTGCTTGTATAATTGACTGTATTGTCATTAGCTTAGCAACATGCTAACATCATGAAAATGAATGAGAGTTGAATCATGAAGAGCACATAGGGAGTTGCTTCATGTAGAGCCTTTCAAATCAGATTTCCTTAGAAGGCATCTGCCTATGTTAGACAGAAAGGCAACTCACTATGTTCTGGAAACCAGCTAGCCAATTATTTTAAGAGCAGCCTTCCCTGTTTCTTCCCTTCAGAAAATGCAAAAAGCAGCAAGGAATTGTATGGGAACTGTTTGTCCAGGGCAGCTTGACCTGAACAGATTGCACTGGAGGAGGTGAAATCATAGGTTAGGGTGCAGCAAAGTCAACTTCTTCGCCACAGATCTCCCACAACACCACTATACCTCTAACTGGTCTATGTCAGGACAGTCATGCAGGGCACAATAGGGTATCGCTTATCTACCATCATGTGTGTGAAAACAAACCAGCAAAAAAGGGAAGGAATATAGAGTGAAACAAAAGGATAAGGAGACAGAATAGGAGAAACAATCTCTCTGCTGACACATGGCACAGGCGGGTAAAGATGAAGGCCCGGGGCTGTTGTCTGAATGCCAAACAGCAGCCGTGAGCTGCAGAGCTGGTGCAGGGGATAATTCTGAATCACTGGTCACTGTAAACACAATAAATCAACCGCCCCACAACACACTGCTGATACACACCACTGACTTGCTGCATATTCAACACACACACACACTGAGCAGTCTATTCACTCCACAGAGATGCAAGTTTAAAGAGAAGGCAAAAATTTTGAAAGAAAAAAGTAGTACTTCGATTCACTCGGATTTCTGCATTGTGAATGCTTTTCAAACCTGTAAAATTACGTAATTCTGACTCAAGCAAAATATTTAAAAAGGCGAAGTCAAAAGTAGGACGTGACTTGATTATTAGGGAACTGATAAGGAACCGACTGAATGGTGGAAAGTGGGTGTTCCAATACCTGAATGAAAGTTTGCATATGTAAACTTAGTAAATCAACTGGTTCATTTAAAAGAAATGACTCAAAAGAACAATTAATTAACTGATCCATTTCTGATGGTCACTGGTGGTCAATGACTCAATGATTCAATCATTGTGGTTTCTGATTTTTCAAAAATGCACCTTTTGTGTTCCACAGAAGAAGAAGAAGAAAAGTGTGAGTAAATGATGACAGAATTCTAAGTTCTGAGTAAGTTGTGCAGACTAAGTAACGCTAACTCTAAGAAAGACAATCAGAGACAGTTATTACATGTTTACTACAAAGACACATTTTTTTTTTGTAATTTATGATAATCCTGGTAAAATTAGAAAATAAGACAAATGTATTAATAACTGAAGGATCCTCAAATGCAAACTGCGTGTGCTTCAAGAGAGCAACCATACATCTGTGTTGTTCTACTTTCTTTTATTCTTCATTTATTCATTCATTCATTAAATTATAGTCATTTATCATTTAATTGTTTTATTATTCCATTTAATCATTTATAATAATCATTTAAGCCATTTATATACTCGTTTTTATACTCGTGTTTTTTATATTATTTTTCCATTGTTATTTAGTTGTGTTGTTTCAAGGGATGGTTATCTTCATGAATAAGATATACAAGGGAATGTTTATGGAGATTCAAGATTTTAGGGATGTTGTTGTGAAGCAGTTCAGTATAACGCTACTTGTATTTGTGTTCGTCAGACAAAGTCTGAGCATTGAGACATCCGTAACTATGATTATTCAATAAACTCTGCTCCTTTTTTAGCATCATTACATCGTCTCCTGCTTCTATTCTTCTTTGGCTTTGCTCAGTCAACTTCTTGGCTGATAGAAGACTTCCTGTTAACGCGTTTTGGGTAGGGATGCACCGAATATTCGGCAACCGAAATTATTCGGCCCAGTAACATTTTTGTGAATATTTTTAAAGGCATGTGACAATGTGATGCGTGTGACAAACATCTTCCCAAATTCGTAATGAGAATCATTTATAAATCTGCATGCTGTTGTCAACAAAAAGAAGCACTGAGATCTTCCAGCGGGTTTCTGTTAAAATAAAAGCCGAGAAAAAAAAATAATAAAAAAACTCCATCGACATTCATACATTATAGTATTGTAATTTTACTGTCGTTATGTAAAATAAAATAAAAAGTAAGAAAATAATAATGATAATAATAATTACCCTACAACAGCTCTGTTAATACATTTATTATAACATTCACACACAGTGTTCAAATTGGAATCTGAGTAAATATTTTTTAATTGTTGTTTTGTAATTGATTTTTTTATTTGAAAAGCAGGACAAAACAGTAAAAAGCACATTTTGGCAATTTAATTAATGCAATTGTGAAAAAAATGGCAAAATAGGCCTACATGGGGGAAAAATGTGAAAAACCGTGTTCGGTATTCGGCCCAATGTTTCATTTTGTTCGGCTTCGGCTTCGGCCTATAATTTTCATTTCGGTGCATCCCTAGTTTTGGGTATTAGATAATTTTGCTGACTAGTCATTTTGTTACCAGACAAAACGGATATTTTCTGACAGGACCTGGCGTCCAGGGCTGGATCTGATATTTCTGGCGTGGAGGCATGATCTAACATAACTAATAATTAAATAAGCGGTATACACTATATAGCAAATATTAACTGCTTGATTGTTATCTCATCGAAAAGTGTAAACTTTATTATTACCCAGTGATATTTAAAAAAATTGGGTACAATGCATCCTACTTTACCAGCATACATAAAGTATACTCAATATAAAGCAATATATATCAAATCTCGGCTGCGTGATTGTTTATATTGTTGCAAAAAATGCTAACTATATTATAGCGTAGCTCTCTATATAAAGTTGGATATATATTATATCCAACTTTATCTGCATGAGTATACATACAGTATACAGCATACTCATGTAGGGCGGTGAATAGTTGTATCATTGGAAAATGTAACTATGGCAACACTCAGCTGCAGAATAAGGTTGTCAGTTCTGTATTTGAGTCCTTAACACAGTTATGTTCATACACGGTTTGTGAGTTATTTCCGGGAGTGACAACTACATTTAATAACCAATCTCACACCCGTAAATTTTCAGGACTCACAACCACATTCTCGGAAAACCTGCACTGTTTGAACGGAACTTGACTTGACAACTAGTCGTCTGTCACGTCATAAAGTGCGAGAGCAACTGTAATGGTCGAGGACAGGATGAGGAAAAGAAAGACAAGAATCCAGTAACAGAAGTGGGACTTTAGATTATATAAGCAAACTCATATTGCACTTCTAGTGACATATCTGCCCTCTCTAAGCCTCCATACTTAAACCTCTTACCTCGCAATCGCATGGAATGAGTGAGTGTGAGAGAGGACAGGAAATAGAAGCGTCTCAAAGGGATGGCGCAATGTCACCTTACAGCAGCTGGTATTGTCATCACACTAATGCAGGCACACTGACCTCTCGACCCCGCAAGTTAATGAGGAAGGAGGGGGCTCACGCAAGGACGACACATACTGCGGCTCAGGGACCGCACAAAACGACACAAAAAACCATCTTACCTGGAAATCCTTTTCCTCTAGTATCTCTTTCCTCCATCGCACCAGGAAGGCAGCGCACACGTACAAATGGAAATGAGAGAATCCTTCAGGCTCTGCCTGTGAACATAAAGATGAGAGTAACAATGAAGTCACGGATAATAGAGTCATATCGATTTGCATTCTGACATTTGCATTATGACCTCACAATTATCAGCTCATTAACATATGACCACCTACATTTGCCTACCAGCTTGTTCAAAAAAAAAAAAAAAAAAAAAATTATAATAATAAAATAAATTAATATGATATTAATAAGATAACCCAAGGCTTCCCAAAACTGGGTTCAGCCCCTGGGGTTCATGAGGGAACTGCTGGGGATTCATAAGTTGATAAGTTTATTAATCACAAAAAATAAAATTGTAAATAAATCAAGACGACAAGATTTTTTTATTTATTTCTTGTGCTTTACTTATAATTTTTGGTGTGTCAAGTTAAGTTACATCAACTATACATAAATTTGTATTAGTATATTGGCTTTTTAAATCATTGTTACATGCTTTTGCAGTTTTTTCCCCCTTTCTGTTTAACTGTACATTGCCTGAAATGGCCAGTTCACAATTTATTCTATACAATTACATAAATATTTTAATATTACACAAACAAATTAATTTATTATATATTTTTTTTTAAATGTTGATGAACTGTGGTAGCTTTGGTTGGACAGAGGCCATTTACATATATAAGTCTTAAAGGTACAGTAGCAAAAACAGAAAATTGTCTTGAAAAACTAAATTAATTAATAACCTTTTTTGGTACAAGAAACCTTGACTAATATTAAAAGTAGACTTCAGATGAAACAGATCAAGAGCTACATAATAGTTCAATAAGATCTCTTTAGGAAAACAGAAAGAAACCAGTGTATCTGAGTTTATATGAGAATTTTTATTATTAAGAGATCGAGAAAAAAAATATCCTCTATTTAGTTTGACCTTTCACGTTTCTCATTTTTATTTTTCTCACCACTTATCCCATCTCTTCATTTAGGCTTCTTGACACATTTTCTGATGGTGCCGAAATAAAACAATGAAATTAAAGGGCAGGCTGAAACAAGATGATGTACTAAGAAGTGACGTAAGCCGGTCGACAGCGTCGTCATTTGTGCGCGGCGTTCAACAACAGAAACAAAGAAGAACAACATTAACAACAGGAGGATGGAGGACGCTGTGATCGGAGCTGTGTTTTTGTTGTGTCTTGAGGGTTTCACAATAAT